GGCCTATAAGTGCATTTCCCCACTCGCGCAGTTCCAATCCCATCTGGGTGTACCGGCGCTCGATGCGCAGCAGAAAGGCCTGCATAGTGCTGCCGTCTTCTGGTAGTATGGGAGTCGTTGCGCCGGATTCCACGGTCCCCCCTATAACAGTTCTTATCACACTCATAGCGGACTGGAATTGGTTTCACGTGACGAAGGGACTGTCCCCTGGCATAACATTGGTCATAGGTATCACCTGTGGGGGCGCCTCCTTATGCCCATGCGGCCGCTCTGCCACGGTGGGCTTCAGAGTCGCGTGGCGATGATGGGCTGGCGTCCCGCTCGGCATTTTGTTGACTGACATTGCAGAAGTCTCCTGCGGTGTGGGGCCGATAACGCGTCCGTTGCGGTGCTGCATCCCATACCGAGCGAAGATTTCTAGGCATGAGTTAATAAAACATAGTATTTCTACTCCCAAGTCCGGAAAGAACAAAGATTTCATATACCGGAAGAGCCCCCAAATGTAGTGCACATCGCTGACTGCTGCGACTATGCTGCTACCTGCCCCTCGAGCAGGGCATATGATCGGCACCTAACGTAGGCCCATTTCCTTGAAACAGTAGCTTATATTTATCGAAAAACAGTAATTCTTAAGTTTCCAAAATCTGTTGTTGTTCGATTCGCCCCACTTGGAGTGCTCGCCCCCTAGGCCCTATGGAGACGAGGGCTGCACTGGTGCCGGCGCTATCGCCAGCCCCAGTCTCCACACATTTTCCACACATTTCACGTATGCATATTAATTCATGGACAATTCGCCTTACTTCTATCCTAGAAGGAGGGTCCTGTCCTCCTCCAGTGTTGCGACCCCTTGTAGGTCGCTAGGTAGCTGTCGTCTACAGGTCACCAACAAGCCCTATTGTAATGCCTGTGCAATACACCTGATGTGCACCAATGGCCGCAAGCTTACTCGAAGTGTCCCGTTTTTCGCGCTCCCTACAAATCCGCAGCAAACCAACCAGGAGACGATCTGCAAATAGAGTTTCGTAATCGCCAATTCCCCTTTCGCTATGTGCAGCCTTACCTGCACATCCGTGTTCATGGACTGTGGCGCATCTGCGTCCCACAATTCCCTGAGTTCCTTACTCGAGTTCTGCATTCACATCACGACCATGTCACAGCCAGCTATCGAGGCCAGAAAAAAACCTTTGCGGCTCTCAGCAAGCACTACTACTGGCCAGGAATGCACGCCTACACTACTGCTTATGTTGAATCATGCACTCACTGTCGAGCGTCAAAGTCCCTTAATCAGAAACCTGGAGGCCTCCTTCAGCAGCTACTCATCCCTTCTCGTCGGTGGGCCCATGTGAGTATTGACTTTATCAACAGATCTTCCCCTTACAACGAAAGGGTACGACTCGATTCTCGTGATGTTCGACTCCCTCAGCAAGATGGCTCACTTCGTTCCTGCAAAGAAGCCATTTACAGCAGCTGACACCGTGGAGCTTCTCGCAGACCGTCTTATCCGCTATCACGGTTTTCCAGAGGTGCTCATATCGGACTGCGGCCCCCCCTTTCAGTCGTATCTCTGGCAAGAACTCTGTAGCCGCTTTAACATCAAACGGTGCATCTCCTGGCCCTACCATCCCCAGAGCGACGGCCAAACTGAACGGGTTAACTGCACACTCGAGCAGATGCTTCGTACCTATATCATATCTGACGAATGCGAGTGGGAGCGTTTGCTCCCGGCCTTGGAACTTGCCTACAACACAACAAGTCATTCATCCACTGAGCTGTCTCCCTTCGAGGTCATGACTGGCGAGAACCCGTTGACTGCTGCGGACCTTGATATCGTAGGCACGTTAGCTCCTACGCTCACTCCTCCGATGATCAAGCTTTTCCGGCAGCTCTGCGACAGAGCACAGAGTCACATCCTGAAGGCGAAATGGCAGCAGAAGTACTACGCAGACAAAAGGCGCCGAGTTGTGAAGCATGCAGTGGGCGACAAGGTCTGGCTCAGTAGCAAGCACCTACCGCCTTTCAAACGCTGCCCTAAGTTCGAGCTCCGTCACCGCGGACCCTTTGAAGTCATCGAACGCATAGGGACCGTCGCTTACCATCTCGCTCTGCCTCCTGCCTATGAATGTCATAACGTTTTCCACGTTTCGCAGCTAGTTCCCCACCGCCCCCGCCCTCCCGCTTTGGTTCCCCCGGCAGCCGACGCGCCTGGCCTCCTATCCGCGATACAGCAGGCAATCCAACAGAGGATTATGAAGTCGATCATATTATGGACCAACGCGGCTCGGGAGATGAAGCCCAGTACCTCGTGAAGTGGCGCGGGACCCCTGACGATCTAGCCACATCGGAGCCCGCTCACCACCTTACAGGCTGCCCCGCTTTGCTTCGCGCTTGGCGCGGCCGCCAACGAAGACGTCTTCAGGCTCGAAACAACATTGGCCCTTCCGACGCGTAGCGGTTTGGGCCCGTCGCCTTCCGCCGCCTGCAGGACGGGCAACCTTCAATGAGGAGGAATGGGGAGCGCTGCGCACCGAATGCGCTCACGGCGTTAGCTTCAGAAGAGAATAGAGGTTGAAAAGGCAGAAATGATATGTTTTGGGGTAGGTCTGTTGAGTCCGCCAAGGGGGGAAGTTGTACTGCACAGGCACTACAATAGGGCTTGCTGGTGACCTATAGAAGATAGCTAGCTGGTGACCTACAAGAGGTCATAACACTGAACGAGGACAGGACCCTCTTACTAGGGTCGAAGTAAGGCAATTTGTCGGTGAATTAGCATGTATACACTAGACGGGCCTGAAAATACCTGGAGAGTGGGGCTGGCGATAGCGCCGGCAGCGGTGCAGGTGTGGTACACTGCGTTCTCTACAGCGTCTACGATGCTGCACAACCCTCAACTCTGGCGTTCAATGAAATCTTCCCTACTAACGACGCATCGGTCGCGTATCGTCTACCAATTTATTAAACAGACCGTTTTATGTCAAGTTCTCAAAATCATATATCATAAAAGTCGTTTCTTCTTGTTCTTGCATTGCTGGTCCGGTGAGGGTGTGACGCGCATCTGCGCCGGCGCTGTCGGCAGCCCCAATCTTAGAGCATTCGCAGGCACTTCTAGTTTATACATGTTAACTTGTTAATAAATTGCATTTCTACTTCACTACGAAGAGGTTACAGTGCTCAATTCGCGTCCCAACCACTTAACCCCTTGTAGGTCATCAGTTAGCTATCCTCTTACGGGTCACCAACAAGCCCCATTGTAGTGCCTGCGCACTACAACTTCTCCCCTTGCCGGACTGAACCGGCCTACCCGCAACACAATATTTCTGCCTTTTCAGTCTTTATTCCCTTGTGAAGCTAATGCGATGAGCGCATGCGGTAGGCAGCGCCCACCCCCCTCGTCATTGAAGACCGTCGTGTGGTGGCAGTTGATGGGCCCAAACCGCTACGCGTCGGAAGGACCAATGTTGTTTCGACACTGAAGACGTCTTCTCTGACGGCAGTGCCAAGCACGGAGCAAAGCCTGACATCCTGTAAGGTGGTGAGCGGGCTCCCATGTGACTTGGTCATCAGGGGGCCAGCGCCACTTCACGAGGTACTGAGCTTCATCTCCCGAGCCGCGTTGGTCCATAATATGATCGACTTCATAGTCCTCTGTCGGATTGCCTGCCACATCGCGGATACGGGGCCAGGCGGTATCGGCTTCCTGCGAACCAAGTCGGGATGGCGGGGGCGGTGGGGAACTAGCTGCGAAACATGAAAAACGTTGTGGCATGCATACGTAGGAGGTAAAGCAAGACGGTAAGGGACGGTGCCTATTCGTTCAATGAATTCAAAGGGTCCTCGTTAACGAGGTTTGAGCTTAGGGCAGCTAGATGACACCGGTAGATGCTTGTTGGTGAGCCAGACCTTGTCGCCCACTGCATACTCCACATCTCGGCGCTTTTTGTCTGCGTAATATTTCTGCTGCCATTTTGCCTTCTGTATGTGGCTCTGCGCTCTGTCGCAGAGCTGCCGGAAAAGCTCAGTCATCGAGGAGTGAGCGTAGGGGCTAACGCGCCTACGGTATCAAGATTCGCAGCAGTCAACGGGTTCTCGCCGATCATGACTTCGAAGGGAGAGAGCTCGGTGGAGGAATGGCTTGTCGTGTTGTGGGCAAGTTCCAGGGCCGGAAGCAAACGCTCCCACTCGCGTTCGTCGGAATGGATGTAGGTTCGAAGCATCTGCTCGAGTGTGCGGTTAACCCGTTCAGTTTGACCGTCGCTCTGGGGATGGTAGGACGAAGGCATGGTGCGTTTGATGTTAAAGCAGTGACATAGTTGTTGCCAGAGGTCTGACTGAAAGCGGGGGCCGCGTTCCGATATAAGCACCTCTGGAAAGCCGTGATAGCGGATAAGACGCTCTGCAAGAAGCTCCACGGTGTCTGCTGCTGTGAATGATTTCTTTGCAGGAACGAAATGAACCATCTTGCTGAGGTAGTCGACCATCACGAGAATCGAGTCGTGCCTTGTCGTTGTAAGGGGAAAATCCGTGGTAAAATTGAAGCTCACGTTGGCCCACCGACGCTAAAGGATGAGTTGCTGTTGAAGAAGGCCTGCAGGTTTCTGGCTCAGAGATTTGAACGCACGACAGTGAGCAGGTTTCAACATACGCAGTCGTGTAAGCACACATCCCTGGCGAGTAGTAGTGCTTCCTCGGAGCCGTGAAAGTCTTCGTTTGGCCTCGATGGCCGGCTGCCACATGGTCATGATGTGAGCGCAAGGCATGCGTGAGGAACTCAGGGAATTGTGGAACACAGATTCGCCATAGTCCATGAATAGAAAAATGCAAGTAAGGCGGCACATAGCGAAAGGTGACGTGACGATTGCGAAACTATCTGTATAGTGTCTCCTGGTTGTTTTGCAGCGACTTCGTAGGGAGCGAGGAAAACAGGACCTTTCGAGTAGGCCTGCGGCCATTCAGGCGCCTCAAGAGGGTCAGCTCGCGTCTTCGTTGCAGGTGTGGAATGTTCCGCCTCTGGATTGGACTCACGCGGCGGAGTTGTAGGTGGTAATGGCAAGGTGCGTTGTCTGGATCGTCGCGAACGAATTCCGGCAAACTCCCTGTAGTTAGCAGGCCGACCACGAGAGCTAGGAGCCGCGCGCGTTTGTTCTACTGCAAGCATCAATGGTGTCATTAGTGTGTTGTGCGAGCAGGTGTTAGAGAGACCGGGACGGCGAGACAAAGCATCAGCCACCTGATTTCGCGCTCCTTAAACATAAGTGAACTGCAAATCCGGGAACTCGGCGAGGAAGTCTAGCCATCGAGCGGTGCGTCCGCGCCAAGGCTTCGATGCTTGGAGTTGTTGGAGATGCGTAAGAGCTTGGTGATCTGTATGAGGTGTAACTTTGGAGACACGGAGCAAATGAGACCACTTGTCCAGGGCCGTGACCAACGCCAAGAGTTCTTGATCGTAGATCGAGTGTTTCTGTTGTGTGGGGTTCATGACATGGCTGAGGAAACCGATGGGCTTGCCTTCTTGTTCGAGAACCGCTCCGATCGCATAATCAGAGGCATCCTTGTATAACTCGAAGGGCTTCGTGGTGTCAGGAACTTGTAATGTTGTGAAATCAATTAAGCGCTGTTTGAGCTGCTGCACCGCCTTTGTGTGAAGTCCTGTCCATATGAGACTAATGTCTTTATTATGTGTAAGATCAACCAGAGGCCGCGCAACGTCGGCATAATCAGGTCCCATGAACATGCGACAGTAATTGATGGTGCCGAGAAACTGCCGCACTTGCATTTCATTTTCCAGCACCTCTGGCCAGTGCCGGATAGCTTCGATTTTGTCTTCTGCAGGTTTGTTGCCCTCAGTAATGATGGTATGACCCAAATATGTGATCGCTTGCCTAGCGAACTTGCACTTGCGGGATTTTGGGTAGAATTGATTTCGCAGGAAAACACTGAGAACTTGTTGCAGGAGGGAAACGTGCCAAGAGAGGTCGGAACTATAAATAAGTGCATCATTTAGGTGCGTAGTAACACCCTGTTCTAACAAAGGCTATAGATAGGCATTAATGTTGGCCTGGAACGTAGCTGGAGAACCCTTAAGGCCAAACATCATGGCGCGATATTCAAATAGCCCTAGAACGGAACGGAAAGCCCTTTTCCAACGGTTTTCCTTAGCCATACGTATTTGATGGAATCCTGCCTCAAGGTCCAAAGTGGAAAAATACTTGGCGCCTCCCAGCATCTCCAGAATGGTTTGAATGGGAGGTAATGGAAAGTCAGGAGCGACTGTAAGGGCATTCAGAGCCTGGTAGTTAACAACCATACGCATCTTCCGCTCTCCGGAGCCATCATCACGCTTGTCGACCGTGATCGTAGGAGAGCAGATAGGCGAATATGCTGGTCCGATCCAACCACTGTCCGGAAATTTAGCTACCTCCTGTTTGTGGAATGTGAGCTGATCTGGGGTCATATGGTAAATCGCAGATTTCGCTGCAAGTTTTCCAGGCACAAGTAAGGTATTGTGATCATGAGGGCGCTTCGGCGGTAACCCTTTAGGTAAGTTATCGGAGAAGACCGCCCGATACTCTTTCAACACCTTGATAATCTCGATTGAAATAACTTGTGCCGCTCTCGAGTTTATCCACTCATCGAAGAGCGTGCGTTCGAGTTTTGCCGTAGGACATGGAGACTCTTCTTCATCGCCCGCTGTTGTCAAGGCAGTAGAAGCCAAAGGACGGCTACAACCGGAGGCTTTTGGTCGATTCCCAATCAACGCGCAGGAAAGTGCGCCTTGCCACTCGTCTGTGAACCTGAGTGCCACTGACGAGCCAGCGCCGGGCAAAGCCAGGATGCAATGCAAACCGTGCAATGGTGCTCTGAGGTTCTTTGCGTCGGCCGCCGCCTGGCGAACCAGCGACGTTATCCGTGCCTTTGGCTTAGTCTTCGCATGGGCTTTATACCTTTTAGGTGGCGGCCGTAGGAATATGGCGGCCTCCTCCGCTGACATACCCGCCACTTGCTTCGCCAAAATGTCATTCTCTTGCTCTGCAGGAGTTCTTGGAGGCGCTGCTATCTGACTGTCACCCTGCAATGTCTCTTCACCCGCCCTAACGACCAGTAACTCGCACCACTAGCCGTTCACATAGGTCCGGAACTTGTCGAACTGAAAATACCAGGCCACCTTATGTTCAGTCAGCCAATCCAGTCCCAAGACTAAATCATAGGAGACGGTTCCCACTAAGAAGTCCTCGGAAGAGTGAGTGCGAAGACTAAGGCAAAGGCACGGATAACGTCGCTGGTTCGCCAGGCGGCGGCCGACGCAAAGAACGTCAGAGCACCATTGCACGGTTTGTATTGCATCCTGGCTTTGCGCGACGCTGGCTCGTCAGTGGCACATTTGTGAGATAAGCTAGTGCGGCACTTGTGTTCTCGGTTTCAGCTCCTGGCGCATTGGCATCCGCTTATGCGGAAATTCGGTTGACCTGGGTCGAATCTTTGCTGCTGTCTCCAGGCCGCTTAGTAGAACTACTAAATTCGAACATAGGGCAAGGTTGGACAGCGAAAGCGCTTGCAGCCATGTCAGAATTGCAGATAAAATACTGACCAGAGCAATCCCAGCCTGCCGATCATTAAATGTACTTTTGGCATCTTCCAACTACTTGCATGCTGCAAGAAGTGCATAGACAGGTTGTTTATGGAGCTTCAGCAGCAGCGGGGATGGCCCTGAACGATGTCTGTAGCTGCAAGCTACGAGGCAAACAGGCACGGAGCAGCCAGGCAACTAATAAGTTTGAAAGGCAGTGAACTTTTAGCTGAAAAAAGGAGACAAGCATGTAGAGGCTTGCTGTGCCCAGATCACGCATTGAATCTGGCGAACTAAATGTCTTATGCAAGCTGGAAGATCCAGTTCAGGAAGGGATTCCATTCAGGTAGAATATGGCCTGCGATCAATATCCGGGTGTGCATTTTTCAATTTTTGTGCCAGTGTCCGGGGATATCGGAGATCGATCGTTGTTGTTAGCGCACTTCAACAAAAATTGGAGTAGAAAATATAATGTAATGACGGCTCGTTCGAGTATGGTAGGAAGAGAAGAGCCCTCGGGGGACCGATCTGCACGCCGATGCTGCAGAAACCTACGATTAACGCAGGCAAGGAAGCCGATAGTGCCAGTGGTTTCCGAAAGGAATGCCCTGGCGAAAGCAGCATGGAATCTCCACGCATGGCCCGTGAACGGCGTGCTTTCATAGTCACATCGATATGGAAGAAATCAAGCTGAAACCCCATACTCTTTTCCCTTGCTCCTGAAGGCTTAAGCAGGCCGAGTTCCGATCTTCGTAGTACGCTACTCTTGACTAGTTTACTACGGACACCATAGCTCTGTGGTGCTTTTCGTTGTGGTGGCGTAGATGCACGCTAGTACGCTACAAGTCTGCGCATCCTAGGCACGTTCGAGGCACAAACACTAGCTATTCCGTATTTTGTGGCTAGCATCGATGCTCTGGAGTGAAGCAAAACCGCCGAGTACCCTGGCAGAATGAAATAGATGCAAACGCAGCATGCCTGTATTGGTTAGCCATTGGCAGTGTTTGTCTGGAGCACGCTCAGATCGCCCCTTCTAAATCTGTAATCTCATCAGTCCTCTAACTAGCGCGTGCGGTCTGCTGCTAGCTCCACAAGTAACAAGGCACCACAGTCAACTACGAAAGTCCCAGAGAAGGCAATGGAGGACATACACCACAGCCTATTCAACTCCTAGGCAGAACTGAAGAAGGAGCGGGCTAAATTTCGCGACATCCATAAGGAATAGACTAGCTAGAATTTTATGCAGAAAAGTGAAGAAGAGCAGTATTTGCGTTCTTGAAGATGAGTAAAGCTTTAGAGGACTGTTTCAGGCGACCAGGTCCGCATTTTGACGAACTGTGAACGCTACACACTGGTCCAGCTCAAAAAGATTGCCAAGTGTCTCTTCATGGGTTTTGCGCGTAAGTGCTACATTTACAAATACACACGGAGCATGTGTACACATTCCCTGAAGTCCAATTGAGGCACCCCGTAAGAAGGCTCGCCTTAATAGCTAAACCGTACCTAATTCTACGTAGAAGCTCCAACAAAAGGGCACGTTGCCATTACAAATCTCCGTACACAGTTGGCACCTACTGAGAAATTAGGGTTACTGGTGGTACCGGCGTAGCAGTCAAATCGGGCGGGAAACTCGCAACACACATGGACAGAAAAGCCGGAATTCAACTCCAGTTTTGGGGAGGGAACCTATGGATGCAGTAAAACAAGTAAGGGCGATGTTGGATACCACCTACAACAGCCAGATTTAGGCTCACTTCTAAGTCTCAGTCAGTTGACGGACCTCCGGCTCCCCTAGAGGGACATGAAAGGGAAACCTGCTGCTTTCGCTCCTAAATTATCAGCACAAAGCAGTTGACGGGACTATGATGTGTGTCTCTGGCCCACTTCGAATCAGTTTTTCGAGAAGCAGCGAAGCCATCCACACAGTAGTCACAAAGGACGGAGAGTTGAGGGTTTCGGCTTCGAGTTGTGGAGGCTGGGCAGCAACGCCTCTAAGAGACAAACGGGAGCGTTGCGTATTGTTTGGTGACAGATGCTCCAGAAACAGTAATCACAAACTAGCTTCAGTAATCGATCAGCTGTAGTCATCGCTTCTCGTGTAAGGTTTAGGCTTTGGTGCCCGCTGCCGCCGCTCCGCATAGCAAGACCGCCAGGTCAGACGCATCGCGTCTATCTGCAGTTTGGCATGCGTAAACCCTAAACCTTAAACGTTGAATTCTAAACGTTTGTGACTTTGTGCTGTCTCTTAAGGCGTTTCGCGTACTGCTGCTCTTACCATTTTGCTGCGGTAGCTGGAGGAACTCGCGCCTGCAACGGAGCCCAACAGGGGCCCTTCCCCCATCTTTTGACTTTTTCGCGATCCAAGTACCACGGTAGAGCTTACTTCCAGCGTAATTCGGCATAGGTCCTCCTGCGTGTTAGCGGAAGTCTCACTCACTCCCACGAGCGTCCCTGTACAGGTGGTACGTTAGGGGCTGTCTGTAGCACCCCGGAGGTTTTGCTGCCGCGCATCTCGCCTCCACATTCTGCTTCCCTGCTCAGCGTGGGGGAACAAGAGGGGTCCCTGGGGGCCTGTTAGCAACCTCACAACGCCTCCTGACATAGCCCTTCCTTGGGGCTGCTCAGAGTGTGGAGCCCGTGCTGTGCTGCATTGAGGGGCCCCAACACATCAAGGGGCCCCCTGTGTAGCTGCTCTCTTACAGCTGTCAAAGCTGTCACTTCCCCTATGGAGACCGTGTTTCTCGACCCCTCCGACCAGGTGGGGGCAGCTCGGGATGGGGGTGGCGTTTTACCGGCAGATCGCAGTGCCAGCAGCAACAGAAGTTGGACTCACAATGGTGTCCCATCTTTGCAGCAGCAGCAGCCACAGCAACAACAACGACTACAGCAACAGCGTGCATTTGTGGCAGTCAACGGAGTCGGAAGTGAGGCATGCAATGCAGCTTCAAGGGGCCCTAAAGGGGGCCAGCTTGCGGGAGCCCACGCGAGCCCTTCGAAGGCTAGGGGATACTCGATGTACATAAATTGTACTACGTGGGCGAGTGACAGCCACGGTCTATTCGACTACGAGTCACGAAATGTCGCAAAGAAGACCTACAGAATCAACTGCATGCGTGAGCTCCTTTCTGCATTTAAGTGTCTAAAATCACTGTTGTCGGGGATACAGAGCCTGCACTGGTGCATTGATTCTTTAAAATGACCGCCCTGTGGCAAATGAGGGTCTACGCATCATGCCAAAGTTACTTGTTGATGCAGTTCTGGTCACTCTGGCTGCCCCGCATTGTCTTTTTCTGCGTATGCACCATATGCTGTTGGCGCAGCGGCTTTGCATACTGCTACTAGCTCTTTGTGGTGTTGACTGTAGGGGCGTAGTTGTATCCGACAGGCTGTTCAGCGCCGCGTCATTGTGCATGGATTCTTGTGCCGCCCGCTGTGAAATTCCTTTAAGCAAAAAAGCAGCTGCAGTTCGGGTTTTGCGTGACTTGCTCTGCATGCTATTTTGTGGGTCTGTACAGCTGTTTTGATGCGTGCGTGAGCGGCTTCCTGCCCATTTCGTTCATTGGGTTTTCGTCTATTGTTCCCGTCTTCCATCGCCTTTCCTCCAGTTTTTTTTTTCTTGTCCTTCTCATTGTCTCGAGCTTCGTTTCTGCGTGCTTTTGGCTTTGCTCTGGTGTGTTCATTTCTTTGCATCCATTTGTCTGCCCCTGTATTTCCATCTTATTTTGTGTCTGCTTGTCTAAGGGTCGATGTGACTGCCCTTTGCCTCCTTAATGCCTACAACTATGTCAGTCTTTCGAACGATCCATTTGCAGTTGTCTGCCTTTCCCCGCACCGCTTTTGCCAATATGCCTCCTCGTATCTTCACGTCTTGCCCTCTTCACTGCTTTCTCTTTATTTCCGTCCATATCCGGTTGTCTCTTTTCCCCGGTTCACTCGTTTCGACGAGCCGCCCGAAGAATGCATGTGCCCGCGGATCAGCTATTTTTTTTCTTTGTTGTTTCTTCCTGCACCAGCTTTGCCTTCTTTTATCTCATTTGATGTGGTGCCCCTTTGGTTCTGCTTTCGCACGCTTGCGTTCAGTGCCTCTGTGACCCTTCGTCTGCCTCTTGCTGTCGCTTTGCATTTTCACTTGACTGTTCACATGTTTGACTGCTTTAGTAATCAACTTCTAAATCGCATGATTTATTTCTGCATGTGCTTATCCTTGGCATCTCACTGTCGACCCATCCCTCAGCCCTTGTGCCTTCCTTAGTGTGTCCTGTATCCTGTTTGCTTGCTTGCCGTTGTTACTTGGTAGATGACTCTTACTGCTGCGTCCGAATAGCGGGTGAGGTCTCGGTGTCACCCGAGGAAGAGGCCCTGGAGCTGTTGGAAAAGACTCGCTGTGGAGATGCTGTGGAGGCCAAGGCTCTTCTAAGGATAACTTGGATAGACGGCGCGTACTGCGTGCTGCCACCCTTACCGCCGTCTACTGCCCTTGCTGGTGCTGCCGCTGCTCCAGCTGCTGCTGCTGCTGCAGCCAATCCGGTTTGTGGCACAACGGCTGCAAGGACGCCGGAGCAGCCATCAGCTGCAGCCGCACCCGAAGAGACACAAGAACAGCAGCAGCAGCAGCAGCAACAAAGGCGGCCAGCTCTTGGGGAAGCACCGGGGGAGCCGGCCGCAGATGAGCCAGCAAGACACGTAGCATCTCGCGTCCCCACTACAACAGATCGGTTGCAGAGGGAGCAGCGTACTAGGGAGGCGTCGTCAGCAATCAGCAATACAGATGAGCAGGCGGCAGCAGCGGCAGCTGCACAAGCAGCAGCCGCCGCTGCAGCAATGCAAGCGGCAGCTACAATAGCAGCAGCGGAAGCAGTGCAGGCAACTGTGGCAGGAGGAGTGGCTGACGGAGCAGCAGAAGCTGACGCCCATGGCGCTGCAGGCACGGGCGCAGAAGCAGGCAGCCGAGGGTCTGAGACTCCAGAAGCAGCTGCGGCAGCTGCTGCAGCAGCTGCTGCAGTGATTGCCGCCCCAGCAGCAGCTGCTGCAGCCACTCCTGCCGACGCATCAGCAATAGCGCTACCTGGGAGAACAGGGCTAGCAGCAGTTCGCGGATCCAATTCGCGAACAGGGGCGCAGGCAAATCGTGCGGAGGTCAGAAGTAGCAATAGTAGGAGCAGCAGCAACAGTAGAACGACTTTTGAGCATCAGTAGACCCGGTTGCTTCTTTATTTACCTATTACTGCCGCTGCGGCTATTGCTACTGCTCTCAGGCGGACAAGGTATGGCTGGTGGTTCGGAGTCTGCGGGACTGCGGCGGCGTTCGTTTAGTAGAGGGTGATATCCTGAAGCTAGGAAGGTTCCGCCTAAAGGTCAAGGAGGCCGTGCTTAATCAGCAGCAAGCGCTTCAAGCCACAGCCAGGTATTCCACAGCTAGATGCTGAGGGGGCTAGGCACCAGTTTTCGGCGACGTTCTGGAGATTAGATTCCAGAGCTGACTCGTCCCAGATTAGTACTGGATCTCTTGCTGCTGTTGTCCTGCCTTTGTCGCTGCTGCTGCTGCAGGCAGCGCCCTCACTTGGGAGATGTTGACGACTGTGAAACAGTAGCGCCAGAGCCAGAGAGTGCAGCAGCAGCAATTGCAGCAGCAGTGGGAGACAATGGCTTCGACTCCGGTGAAGAGGTGGTTCCTGATGCAGTCGCGGATGGTGAAGACGCTGCCGCAGCTGCCGCTGCTGCAGTGGAAGGTGCAGCAGCAGCAGCAGCCGCTGCTGCTGTCTCTGCTAACTGTCCTGTTTCCTCCGCGGCGGAGCAGCCCGTGTTCAGCACGTTGCCGAGCAGAGAGGCCTTTGGGCCTTCGCCCGTGGCGACGCATGCTGCAGCAGCTGCAGCAGCAGCAGCTGCTGCTGCAGCTGCTGCTGCAGCACTCCCTCCAGGGTCTCCACTAAGGGCTGTGGCAGCTGCAGCGGCAGCAGCGGGCAGCCGAGCTGCACTGGCAGGCCCGCTTTCCCGTTGCGTATCTGAAGGTTGTCTTCTCACTCCAAAGGGCTCAGGTGTTGGAGGGGAACTTTTCTACGAAACAGGAGAAGTGGGAAGCCATTCAGCGGATGGTATGTGCATCTAAACGGGCGTACGCGCATATCTTCCATGTGGACTTTGACCATCCACTGTAGTCGCCTCGGTTGGGAAGCTACAAAGCGGTCGCAGAACTTCAAGCGTCATAAGGTGCCTCAGCGTTTACGGGTCGAGAATGGCACGACTGCAGCAAAAGCTGCCGCTGCTGTTGCTGTTGCAGCTACTGCGTACATGTTGCCTTTGTCTTATTCAGGAGCTTCGGCGATGGGTCTTCGCCCCCTCAGTGCCGATGCGAGAGCCAGCAGAAGGTGGGTGTGGGTTTTACTAGCAGCAAGGGCGCAGGAACAGAATTACGTACCACTGTAAATTGGAGGGGAGATCAGATCATCTGCCGCACTTTATGGTGGACTGAGCTGTTGCTGTTTTGCGTCTTGCCGCTGCTGCAGTGGCTGTTGCTGCTGCTGCTGTTGCTGCCTCCTGAAAGTGGCGTTGTTTGCATCTGCCTTCCTCTTGTTGCTTCAGCAGTCTCTTCTCTCGTCCCGCCTGTCGCATTTGCCTCTGCGAAGCATCAGAGGATGATGATCCAGATACGAACCCACTAGTAGCTCCCTGCCGCTGCAAAGGTAGACTCTTGGCTTTCTTTAGGTCCCAAGACTCTCTCACCCTGACCCGTTGGCGTTTCTAAACCCCGCCTGCGTGAATGTGTGATAACGTTGAACTTCACTTGCGTATTGTAGCCTGACTTCCGCGTTTGAACATTTTACCAACTGGAGTTGTATCAAGCCTTTGCTGCTTGTTGGGATGTCCTCTTCTTCCCCAGCCGTAGACCATTCATTCGAGCCACATTGGTCGGATTACAAACTTGTCCTTGCGTCTGTTGCTGCTCTGTGTTCCTTGTGCTGCTCAGGCAGCATGCAGTTCGTGCATTTGCAATGTCTCCGCACGTGGATGGAAGGCCGACTTAATATTCGCAATGTAAGCTCTAGGTTCTTACCCTCTCAGGTGTCCTCGCGGCAGTAAAAACATGCAATATTTACAATCAAGGAAGTAGGGTTTTCTTGCGGCTTCAGGATGGCTCGACTGTCGGATATTTCCTCCGCTCTTTGGACTGTGAGTTCCCACCTAGTTTCGGGAATGATGCAGTTAGCTGCTTGAGAGCCAGCTAGAAAGCTAGTGAGCTAGCTAGGCTGCAGAGCTATCGAATGGGCAGTTTTCCTGCAACCGCCGAAAGTGCTGTCTTCATATATTGGTGTCCCTGCAGGTGAACTGTGCAAAGCACCTTATCCGTCTCTGGTGGAGGCCAACAGGAAGGTGATAGAGCTTTTTGCAATTCCTAGACCTCAGTATCCTTACTTTATTCTGGGTGAGCTTTACGTCCACGGCAATTTTGCCAGGTGGCCAAGCCGAGCTAGCTGGCGTCAGGGGGCTTGCTAGTGGGATCGCGTGGTGTTTGCACCATCACTTGTCGGTTTCATTGTGAGTGTTCTGCCTTTTTCTTGACTTTCAGCTAATGCCGTGTTTTTCATTTTTTTTGCCTTCGAAATTCTTCACTGCAGCACCGCGCTTTTACATACGCATCCTTTGCCTGCTCGAGACCATTGACAAGACATACCTAGATGTAGACGGTTTTATGGGGCGGCAGAAGTTTACTATCTGTCTGTTGCTTCCGTCTTTGCAGAGCCACGCAGCACTCATCCCACCGCAGCGGGAGGCACGGCGCCGCCCAGGGGCCTCCATGTTGTCTCTCTTTCCAGCAGGAGAGTTGCACGACTGGGAAGAGGTCACGACTCGGATATCCGACTTAGTGACATATCTGTCTCCAGATTTCATGCTGTCATCAGGCACCAACAGGTGTGCGAGCACGGGTCGAGTCAGGCTGTAGGGTTAGGACACAAGGCGTGGAAGGCGTGTAGCCAGGCTCTTTACTATTTGCGCTTCATGTTCGAGTTCTCACACACCCCAAATAGGGCTTTAGGGTCAGGACCAAGTGCTTCGCTTTGAAAGCGTCGCGTTTTTTCTGAAATATTTCTGGTTTGCGGGCTAGGGCAGCGGGGAGTTTATTTAGGTCCAAGGGCTGTGCCGCGTAGTGGCTTGCAATTTGCGGTTCAGGGAGGGTTTTTTTTAGAAGATCAGAGGAGTAAATTCGGCACCCTTGTGGAACTTAAGAGGCCCCTAAAACTTGAGAGGTGGATCAGCGGGGTATCATTTCAGGTGAGCAAGCACTTCATGGTGCCTGTTCTTTATATGCTTCTTGATTTTGCTCTAAATGAGCGTGCGTGTGCCTGCGTGTCATACGGAGTACGTCAAGTGGTTACGCCGAGCGTTTTGGCGTTTTATCGCTTTGCTGTTTCATTTGTTTTCTGTTTTCCGTTTTCGCAGTGTGTATCTTCTGTGTGTATCCCTGTCCACTAACTCCCAGTCTCCAGTCTCTGTTCATTTTTCAAATCTTCTTCTTGACTTCTGTCTGCCTGTTCTGTGCTTGCGATTTGCCAGGTTCCTTCATGCTGTATATGCCTGTGGTTCAAATCGATGCGCTGCTTCGTGTCGAGTTACCTGTTACCCATCTTACGTTCTTCGCAACTCTATTCTTGCCTGTTGAACTGCTGCTTGCGCCGTACCCTGTGCTGCTTCTATTGCCCGTGCCTCTGCTGCTGCTGCTCTGCCACTGCTGATGCTTCGCTCCTCTTCATGTCTGGATGCTGATGATAGCGCCTGCTGTTGCTCCACCTCTTGTGTTTTGGCTGCTGCTTGCATTATCAGGTCGGCCGTACAGTCATTTCCATCTCCATCCGGCGGCACTGGAACTTCATACCTTCGTGCCTTCGTTCACAGAGAAGCATTGAGTCAGGTACAGTTCCAACCACAAACCGGAGATGCAGCAATTACTTGCCAGTTATTGCGCCAGGGGCGACACCAGGAGCCCCAACCCAAGCTGCAGTAGTTACAGCAACGATGCATTGTCAATCCCATTGGCCTTCGTGTTCCTTTTCTGTCTTGCCAGATGTCAGGTTTATTGATTCTGCGGGGCCTCAAAGCGTCCCTGCAGCGCTTGCAGGCTTCAATTGGCATTCTCTTCTGGGAGGGGGAGCGGCGGGGGGGCCCTCGGGGACCTCTCGGCTTTCAGCCCTCATGCATCGGCAGACCGCAGCGAGCCCAAGGCATCAGCAGGCACCAGCAGCTGTACCTGCTGCGGACGCTGCTGGTGTTGGTGCCGTTGCTGGCGCTGGTGGTCCTGTTGCCGCTTCTGCCGCAGCTGCTGCTGCGGACACAGGTCTGGCCTCACAGCAGCCACAGCCGGAGCAACCAAGCCAAGAAGAGGCTCCAGCACATCAAGGGGAGGCGCCCCCCCCAGGGGACTCTGCAGCCGACCAGGACGACAGTAGGCGCATGGCGGACACACAGCAGCAGCGGCAGCTGCTCCGGCAGCAGATACAGGAATTGCAGCAACGGGGAGTAGTTCATGAGTGCTCCTCAGCAACCCCACAAAATGCCTCCACTGTTCCCACAGGCAGTGCAACTCAACAGTGAGGCAGGAAGCCCCTTGCCAAAGATTGCCATCTTGCTGTGGAAAGGTGACTGTGGGTTCTCAGAGGGAGCCCCCAGAGGGGCTTCTTGCACCTCAATATTGCGCACAGCTGCAGGCATTTGCGGACCTCTGCTCCCCAGCTAGCTGACATTTTGTCTGCCAGTTGGTTCCCAAGAGTGGCTAGTGCGCCTTGAAATACTGGGGCTGCAGACGGAGTGGACTTTATTTGGGCCTAGAAGTGTCTTCGGGAATCCTTTGTGAGAAAGGCATAATGGACAGTGCGGCTCTCAAGAAGACAGCGTAGTTGCACACTCAGCCTGGGGGCTAGCTTATTGGCGAAAGGGCTCCTGAAGGCGGGTCAAGTACATTTTGTAAAACACGTATCATGTATATTTATATACGTAAGCGATCGAGGCTCCGTTTACTCTTGAGCTGGAGGCTTCCGGGGGCACCTTTGCTAGTGGGGCAGTACCTCTTCCAGTGCCATTCTAAGCAGCGGCAAGAAGCTGCGCAACAAAGTCCTTTATGATCTTTGGTAGGAGCTACTTCACCTTGGATTTGCCCCCCTGTGTGTCTTCCAGAGGCGGTGCCTCAGGGGACCCCTTAAAAGTTCCTTAGAAAGTTGTGTGGTGATGAGTGCATGCAGCAGCACCAGCAACACAAAAATATACACTGGGGCGAAACTGCCCCAAAAGTGTCCGCTTACAAGCGAACGCGTGCAAACGCATTTGCAAATCCGCGCAGCGGCTCCACGGTATTCGCATGCAAACAAACACATGCATGCAGGCCTACCTTCGCGTGCACGCACTTGCATGCAGCTGCATGCTCGCCGCAACTGTAGTTTCCTGGCTTTTGTAATCAACCCTCAATTCGCTACTCCCTCGTACACATCCACAAGGGATATGCTTTGCGTCACTAGCAAGCAGCAGTTACTAGTTCTTGAGCTGTCTAAGGTCACCACTTGAAAGTCAGGGCAGGGGACTGCGGGTTCTGCTGCAGCAGGTGCTCTGCAGCTGCGTATGCGCGGGAGGGCTCCTCAAGAGGAGAGCCATAGCTGTGTCTGCTGCTCTACGGAGTAGAGTGGGAGTACTGGGTCCCTTCGGGGCCCCAGATGTGTATCTCCACATTCCACATAGTAGCAGCTGCACTCGCTGCAGCTGTCGCTGCTGCTGCTGCTGCTGCTTCGCCGTGAACTCTCTAATGTACAGCGCCGCAGCCTGCAGCAAAATGGCTGATAGTGTAAACTGCGGAGGAGATCCTTCACCTTGCTGCCGGCCCGAGTGATGCTTCTGTTGCTGCAATGGGCAGGAAAAGGGATAACTGCTCAGATTTACGGCGGGCGGGGCTGCGCGTAAGGCCCGCTTAATACATAGCAGCAAATTGCCTCGCTGCGGCTTTGCACCGATCGCGTCTTCGAGCTGCTCCAGGATCTGCTGCTGCAGTAGCAGTAGCAGCAGGGGCTGAATGCAAAACTCTTCAAAAAGCGCTGTTGCTGCGTCTACTCGTTGGGGTCGGCTGCCGCTGGGCGCTCTTCGGCTACTGCTGCTGCAGTTGCTGCTCCTGCTGCTATCCTCGTTTAGAAAGGAGCAACAGAGCAGACTGCACCAAACCAGCAGCAGCATACAAGGAGGGGACAAAGTGTTTTCATTTTGCTGCTCTTTTAGTTTCTGCTCCAGAAGTAGCTGTTCCAAGGAGCTCTCACTGTGCTGCTGCTGCTGCAGCTCGGTATACAACTGAGTCTCCATCAGGTAGAGGCCCCGCATCAGATCCACAGCGCGGGATGCATCGCCCTGATTGCAACAAGCCGCAGCAAGTGACAGATACGGATGGTTTGCTGCCTTCTGCAGCAGCCGAAAAACTGCCTCCGTTTCTCCCCCTGCGCTAAACGCCAAGCTCCCGGCTTCTGCGGCCGGTGCTGCTGCTGATGCTGCTGCATCAGTTGCTGTTGCTGTTGCTGCTGCTGCTGCATCGATAGGGGACGGAAGAGATGCCATCTGCAGCAAAGCGACTGTGACAGACAGACATTGGCTCCCCCGTGTTTGGTGCAGTGCCTCCTGGTGCAGTTCCTTCCGCGGGGCCTCCACTTCTTGCCGACGTCGCTGATGAAGGCCAGCAGCTGCAAGGCAGACTGAGGGTGAAATTCCAGCTTTGGTGCGCGTTGCTGCCACTGTTTGCTGCTGCTGCTGCTGCCTTAGAAAAGTTCCTAGCTGGGGTCGTGCGCGCCTCAGAAGTCGCGCCGTCGCCGCTGCTGCTGCGCTTTCGGCAGCAGCAGCGGCACCAGCAGACAGTGGCGTGCAGCAGCAGCAGCCGCGGCTGCAGAGCTGCCGATGGATTCGAGGGTCACCCAAGTGCCCTTCCAGGGGGCCGTCAAAGAGGCTCATATCCTCCTCTGCCGCTGAGTCCTCAGCTGCGGCAGCCTGCTGTTGCCCTGTACCGTTTTCCGTTTCTTCTGTCAAGCTGCTGCTGTTGCTGCTCACGCAGCTGCTGCTGGTGGCCCTGACAGCTCCTTGGAGACTCTCGGGAGGTCCTGGTGCAAGCAGCAGCGCAGAGGCTTTTGCAGCTGCATCAGTTGCTTCAGGAGCATCGGCAACTGCTGCAGATGACGTTGCTACTGCTGCTGCTGCCTTTGCTGTTGCTGCTCCTGCAGCTGGTGCCACTGAGTCTTTCGGGACTTGCTGCACTGACGGCTCTGGCGAATCAGCTTGTGGACGGAATCCTGGTGCCTCTGTCTCTAATGCTGCTGCTGCTGCTGCCAGATCTGGTGCATCCTGGCCACAGCTTTGAACTTGCTCAGGATTGAAGACAGGACACTCGTTGTGCCCGGGCACTACAAGCAGGGAAGAACAGCTGCTTGCTGCTGCTGCTGACGCTGCTGCTGCTGACGCTACTACTGCTGCTGCTGCTTGTGCATCAAGTGTAGCTGTGGTTTGTGTGGCTGACGGGGACTGCACAGACGAATGGCCCTGGCTGTACTTCCCTGCCCCCCAGGGGCTGTGGCGGAAAGCCCCCCTTTCAGTGAGTCCACACGCTGTATCAGAAGCCCTACGAGCCCCAGCTGCTGTTCTTGATGTTGCTGCAGTTGTTGCAGTTTCTGTTCCTGCAGCGGCAGATTGATTTTCAGGTGTGCAGCTGGCTAGGAGCACGACAGGTGCAGCAGCAGAAGCAGGCACAACTGATGCAGGGCCTCCTTGAGGGCTATGCGGCCTCGTATCTCCCCCCTCAGGTGATGTTTCAGCAGCAGCTGAAGCTGTTGCTGCTACGAATGCTGCTGCTGCATTCGGAGAAGCAGCAGGCTCTGTTGCAAGCTGCTTTGGTTCTGTTGCTGTAGATGTGGCTGCTGCTGACCGATCTTCATCAACGTCCATGTGCTGAGAAGGCTGCTCGGGCCCTTGCTGCAACAGCTTCATTTGCTGTTGCAGAGATGTAAAACTGAGCCCGCTACTATCCCTGTTGCCGCCCTCCGTTGCAGCAGCAGTAGGGTCTTTTGCAACACCTGCTGCAGCTGCCGTTTGCTCTACCGCTGCAGAAGCAAGCTCTGCTGTAGTGGCAGTGGTCGCTACCGAAATGGCTTTTGGCCGGTCCGCAGGCGCAGCTTCTAGCGCAGCAGTTGCTGCTGCTGTTGCTGTTGCTGCTATCGCTGCTGCTGCTGTCACTGCTGCTGCTGTCGCTGCCAAAGGCGCGGATAAGCCCTTTGTTGCCCCTGCACTGCCTGATGCAGCTTCGGGCGTGTCCTTATCTTCGTGCTCTGCTGCTGCAGCAGCGGTCCTCTTTCTCTGGATAGCAGCAGCAGAGTCGGCTGCTGCGGCATCCGCAGTAAGTGAGCTATACAGATCTCCAGCGAGGCGCTTTCGCTGGGGGAGAGGGCAGTCCGCAGCGACGGGCCCCCGCTTGAGGGCTTTGCGTTCTGCTGTTGCTGCTGCTGCGGCTCTTCGTGCTGCTATGGCTGTTGACGCTGCTGAAGCTGCGTCCGCACGTCTCGTTACAGTGGCTGCGGGAAAACGGTGGCTGCAGGGTGTCGCGACACCAGCAGCCGCTGCTCTTCTTACCGCTGCGGCTTCTGCGCTTTTTGCTGCTGCTGAAGTTGCTGCTGCTGTTGCTGGTGACGCTCTCACTGCTACAGGCCCCATTTCTGCTGCTGCTGAAGACGCTGCCGTCCTTGTTGCTACTGACGCAGCTGCTGCTTCTGCTAGAGGCCTCGGTTGGAGCTGCTGCTGCAGCAACGGGAGGCTCGAGACAGATCGACTTCGCCTACCTGGAACCCTCCAAAAGGCCCTCTGGGGCCCTCGTCGCACTCCCGCCGCCGTCACTACTGCGGCGGACTGCTGTGGCCGCTGAAGCATTGCAGCAGCAGGCAAGTTGGGGGTGGAGACCGACCTCCTGGCTCGAGCTGCAGTTGCTGCTCTTGCTGCTCGTGCAGCAGCAGCAGCAGCAGATGCTGCTGCTGCTGCTACTGCTGCTGCTGATATTTTTGTTGGACGGCGCAGTAGGCTTCTGGTAGTACTTCGTGGCACGAAAGCTGCGTGGCGCTGCTCCTCTTGGTGGTGCACTGATTGCCGCTGACGCTGTTGTAGCTGTTGCGTCTGTGGCTGCTGCTGCTGCTGTACCTCTTCCTGCCGCAGCAACCGCTCCTGTTGCTCTCGCGTCCTCTGTTGCTGTGATTGCTGCTTGAGTGGACTGTGGTGGGACAATTCTGCTGCAGGCGCAGCCGCTTCAAGTGCTGCAGCTGTTGCTGTTGGTGCTATTGTTTCTCCCTGTGCTGCTGCTGCTGCCGGCTCAGGTACTGTCAGCGCTGCTGATGCAGGCTCCAGCTCTGCCAATGGCTCTTCCGCTGCTGCTTCTGCAGCTTCCGCCTCCACAGCTGCTATTGCTGTAACTTCTACTGTAACTGCTGCTTCTTCAGCTTCCGCTCCTGTAGCTGCTATTGCTGTAGCTGCTGCGGCAGCTGCTGCTCCTGCAGGTTCCGCTTTTGAAGCTGCTGCTGCTGTAGCTGCTGCTGGTATAGCTGCTGGTGTAGCTGCTGCTGGTGTAGCTCCTGCTGCTGTAGCTGCTGCTGCTGTACCTGCTGCTGCTGTACCTGCTGCTGCTGTAGTTGCTGCTGTAGCTGCTGCTGTTGTAGCTGCTGTTGCGGCTGTCATTTCTGCCTCTGTAACTGCAACTGAAGTGGGTGCTGCTGCAGCTGCCACTCCTGCAGCTTCTGCTCCTGTAGCTGTCACTGCTGTGGCTGCTGCCGGAGCTGCTGCTTCTCCCGGAGCTTCTGCTCCGGTAGCCGCTGCTGCTGGAGATTCCGCTGCAGCTGCTACTTCTGCAGCTTCTGCTCCTGTAGCCGCTACTGGTGTACATCCTGCTGCAGCTGCAGCCTCCCCAACTGGTACGGCTGCAGCAGTAGCTCCAGCTGCACTACGTTTCGTTTCCGAGGTAGCAGCTGCTGTTTTCCCGAAAGCAGCACTCGATGTAGAAACTTGTAATTTCTGCAGATCTGTAGCTGCAGCCCTATCAGCTACTACAGAGCCTGCAACCGCGTGTTGCGGTAGAGGGTCTGCTGTTGCAGCTGCGGCAGCAGCAGCTGCTGCTGCTGTTGCTGCTGCGGTCGCTCGCTGCAGAGTTGCTGCCTCTACCGCCGCTTCTGGTGTGTCCGCGGGGGACATCCACAGGGAAGCCGCGGCAGGCTCAGCAGCAGCAGGACCTGCAGCACCTGCTACAGCAGCAGGAGAGGCGGCTGCTGCGGTAGCCGGGCTCCGCAGCAGGTTGACCAGACGCCCCCGCAGCAGCAGCGGCGTCCCCTCTTCTGACCGACGAGCCCCAAAAGCAGGTGTGTGCGTTATTGCTTGAGGCTCGTGAGCCCCTACAAACAGGGGCTGCTGCTCATCCAGTTCCACTTGCTGCTCCTGCTGCTGTTCGGGAACAGCAGCCGGGAAGCTGCGGCAGACGCTTCCGGGGCCCAGAGAAGAGGGAGAGCTATGTAGGGCCTCGGAGGCCTTCAGTTCTGTCTGCGGCTCTGCGGGCAAAGAATGCACCTGCCGCAGTTCTGGTGCTGCTGCTGCGGCTTCAGTCACTGCTGCTGTTGCTGCTGCTGCTGCTTCGGACACCGGTGCTTCCGGCGCTCCTTCTGCGGCTTGTGAGGGCGGCGCTGTGATGCTGCTCACGTAGCTGAAAGGAGATAGAGGACTGAGACACTCAGATGGAGAAGAAGCCAAAAATTCTACAGTGCGCCGCCCAGCGAACAGAGGGCTACTCGTGGGCGGCGCGTGAGTCTCTAGGGTGACCCCCTCTGCAGGCCTTTCAGGTGTCTCTGCTGCTGCTGGTGCTGCTGATACTGCTGCTCTTGTTGCTGCTGATGTTGTTGCGGGCGCTAGCGATGTAGCTGGTGCTGCTGGCGACGGGACTGAAGCAACGGTTGGTGCCCTCGCCCTGCTACTGCCGCTGCCACTGCGGAGGCGGGGAGGCCCTGCCTCAGCAATGGTCCTAAAGAAGGCCCGGGCTGCGGACCGGGAGAAAGCTGAACCCCTGTGCCCCCTGTAAGACGCTGAGCGTGCGCTTCTGCTGTAGCCGAAGGGGCCTCTTTGGGGGGCCCTGGCTGGTGGTGTGCATGAGAAGGAACCGGCATACACAGCGCCTCGAGGGCCCCCTGGAAGAGCCGTGTAGTGAGCCGCAGAAGAGGGAGGGGTCTCTGCTGCAGCTGCTCCCTTTGCTCTTTCATCTGCAACAGGGGAGGGCGCTGCTGGGACCCCTTCGCGCGGTGGTGAGGGCATGATGCCGGGCCCCTCCAGTTTCTGTTGAGGGACCCGCGGCTTTTCAAAATTCAACTAATGAAACATCTACGCTCATACAATACACTCGCAGCAACCGCAGCAGCGGCAGCAGCAGCGGCGCCAGGTGGGGTTGTTGTTTGCACGGTGGGCACAAGCCCCTTCTGCCAGCAAAGGGCCCCCCGGGCCCCATTATTTAGAACAAGATGTTGAATTCAAGGTTTTTTGTCTAAATTTCCTGATTTCCCCAGACGCGTACTGCGGATCCGTCGGCAGTTGCTCTCAATATAACTGTTGCTCCACTGACGAAGGCAAAAAGTGCCCGAGGCCCGTTCTGTCAGTCGGACTTCAGTCGACCAGAGCTCTACATGGACAACGTATTGAAAAATAATAAATTAGTCAACTAAGATTTTATTCGGAAGCTTTTGTTGTTTTACTTTCTCCTTTATTGGCAGGGTATCTTCAGACGAGGGTCTCAGCGAGCTTGCATCGCTGTCGCCTGTCGCCAGTGGGCCCCCCAAGGAGTGTCTGTCTATTTGCGTAAAGCTCGCCAGAGAAACGGTGTAGCCCTGCTTCAAAACATTTTTCATTGTTTTGCCTGGCCTTTGCTTGTCTCAAGATCTTTCCCTTTCCCCCAACAGGCTAGGAGCCCCGCCGACAGCGCCTGCTTACGCCGCCTACACAGCGTGGAGGCCCTCCCCGAGGGCCTGTCCCTTTTCCTAGGACTCCCCGGCTGCTTGTCTCTCTCCTGAGCCTATAAAATGGCGTCCCAGTCTGCTGTCGAAGCTGGGGTCTCCAGAGAGGCCCCTGACTTGTGTCCGGAGAAGTCAGTATGACCCCCTGCAGGACCTGCCTAGGCTTCCCCTTCAGCTTGCAAAGGACTGGCCCTCAACGGAATTCTGGGGGCCCCTCTGACTTGCCTAGGCCCCTAAGATTGCTGTGGCTGAAACACCTCTTTGCTTTGTCTGCAGTTTGACTCCAGCTGAAATCGTTGACAAGATAATGGAATTGCAAGAAGAGCTCTCGGGTTCGGCCTTTGGTGCCTCTTTTTCTGCTGCGGCCCTATATGCTGCTTCTTTTGCTGCCGATGTTGCTGTTGTTGCTGCCGTTTTTGAGGAGGCTTCCACTCTCGGTGCTGCTGTTTCTGCTTTCCCTGGCCGTGCTTTGAGTGCTGCCTCCCGCTGCTTCTAGTTTTGCTGCTGCTGGCACTAGAGGCCTCCGATGCTGGCGTTGTTGCTTATCCTATTCCAAAATTAGGGGCAGGAAAGGCCGAAAGAGCCGAACAGGGCCCCAGTTAACTGCGTAGAATTCATCAGCCTGCTGCTGCGGCTGCTGCTATTTGTCGCCACTACTGCTGCTTCAGATTTGTCCTACCAAGTGGAAGCTGTTCGCCTCTCCAACTCTACTTTGAAGCAGGAGAACGAGGGGCTGCAGCAAAAGATCAACATCCTCAAGCAGCAGTTGGGTTCTGCGCCACAGCAGAAGCAGCAGGACCTCCAGCAACAGGAGGAACTCCAGCAGCGGCAGGACCCCCAGCAACAGCAGCAGCAGGATCTACAGCAGCAGCGACAGCAGCAGCGCGACCTCCCGCAGCAGCACCAGCAGGATCTCCAGCAAGAGCAACAACAGCAACAGGATCTCCACAAGCAGCAACAGCAGCAAGCGGCATCCGCCAGCGCGAAAGAAAAGCCCGCATGTGCTGCTGCCCCAGTAGAGGCCGCACAGGCAGAGTCTAATGCCGAAGCCTCTTCCCCTGCACTGGAAGAAAAGAAACATCTCTCTCCGGCGAAAGCAGCAGGAGAGGAGCCCAGTGCCGGGGCATCTGCTTAGTGCGGCTTCCTGCGGTCGCCTTAAGATTTATTGGGAAGTTGTAGAGCTGCAGCGTAAACTACGTTTTAGGGTTACCTAAGGGCCTCCCCTGCACAGTGTAGAAGGGCTAAAGAGCCTATCGCACGAGCAAGATACTGAGGCCAACTAGAGGGGCCCCAGGGGCTGCTCGGGGCCCTTCGGGGCTGCAGTTGCCAGAAAGAACTTTTCCATTTCTTTTTTTCCCGCGCACTGGAACATGCGGCGATTGAAACGAAACAATGAAGTTGTGTACACTGCAGGGACCCCTTTAATGTCTGATTTACTGTAGGGGACCCCCACAAGCCCCGACTCGGGGGATGTCTCTAGCTGGGGCTGGGGAGCTCGGGCGCACATGACAAACTTCAATAGCGCATACGAGCCCCTTAACAGATTGCTAGGGGCCCCCAGAGGAAATCAGAGGGGGCCCTTTGAATACTTCCGCGCAAGCCGCTAGATGGCGTCCAGCGCCTCCACGCTGGCGTAGGTGATACGGGTAGGCTCTAGGGCCCCCCTGAATCACGGCGCCCTGAGAGGGGCCCTTTAGGGCTTTCCTTTTCCTTGGTTGCCCGCTCGGCGAGTCCAAGAAGTGCAACAGGAGACACTGCTATAGGGCCTCTCCAAAGTCGCCGCAGGGCGCGCCCAGGTACGCCCTGCAGCAAATCACGCGACCCGGGCGCCCGCTTTAGTTTGACCCAAACAACATGCCTCCGTCTATAGGAATGACTTTGCCCGTTATGTATCCCGCCTGATCCGAGGCAAGGAAAGCTGCCAAGTCCGCAACCTGAAGAACACAGAGGCACGGGGGGCGACACACTTTGGGGAATACTTAACTATGCAAGAAGGCACTTTCTATATATGCTTATGAGTGTATGTTTATGCATATGTATAGCCAGCCAGTGCCCCGCTAGCAGCGTAAACCCACAAAAGAACGAATAGAAACGAACACAAGAGTCGGCACTAGACCAGAAGGGCAAAGATAGGAAGAACAACGGCGGCAAGGACTCGCAAGAAAAAATGGAGAAACAAGAAAAGGGAAGCTATCGAAGGCAAGCAGTTGCGCGGGACAAAAACTGCACAGAAAAAAAGGCGCAGAGAAAACGTTGGCAAAAACAAAGGCAAAAGATGCTCTGAGATGACGAAGTGCGCACTTCCTGCTGGGTCCCGAAGCGGCCCGCGGGAATGCTTGCCAGGGCGCCGGCCTGAAGGGCACAGGAAAAAAAATTAGTAGCAGAGAGTGAAGAGTCCGCGAGAGATAGTACAAATTAGACGAAGACGGAGCAAAACGCAAGGCAACAAAAAGGCAGCACTCCCTAGTTCACATTACCAGGGCCGAATCCGCTTCTTTCTACGCAAACGGAAAAGGCTGCACAATGCGTTTCATTGCTTGCTTTTCCTGCTAATATCTGCCCTCGCCATTAAACAACTCCTCGCAAAAGACCTAATTGCCTAAAACGTGACTTAGAGCCCACAGCGCCCGTCCTGAACCCCACGTAAGCCCCTGAGCCCATAGGATAAAGGGCAGGAGAGCGAAATTCCTCACCTTGGCGGCCTCCGTCATTTTGTCGGTCATCAAGGACTTGATGAAGCCAGGGGCAATGGCATTGACCGTCACATTCCGGTTTGCGTATTCTTTCGCAAGCGACTTGGTGAGGCCAATCAGCCCCGCCTTAGACGCCGCGTAGTTCGCCTGCCCCGGGTTACCGCCCACGCCCACCACCGAGGACATGTTGATTATGCGGCCGAACCTGCGGCATCGAGCAGGGGCGGGAAAGCGGGTTGAGGTGAGGGAAATGAAAAAAAAAATAAAAGGCACTGGAGTAACGCGAAGGCAGAAAAGAAACAAACGCACGCACCATGATGACTGCTACTCCAACAGGTACAAAAATTTTTAACCGGTCAAGTACTTACACGGGAAATCAATTTAGTACAGTATCATTAGATATGTGGAGTGCTTCAAGTTGTATTTTCTTATTTATTCTACGGCAGGCAGATAAATAAACAGGGCAGATAGCCAAGAGGACAAACAAAGAAGGCTTTCTAAACTTGTGACGAGATGGCGCAAAGCCCCGTTGTAGCGGTCAGGCAGCACCTGTTTTTCGTCATTTGTTTGATGAGCGGGAGCGAAAAGTAAAAGGCGGAGTTCAAGTTGGTGTTGATGACATCTGTCCATTCGTTATCCTTCATTCGAATGAACAAGTTGTCCCGGGTAATGCCCGCATTGTTCACCAAAATGTCTATTTTCTTGTGCTTCTCCAGCAAAGACGCACACAGGTCCGACACCGAACGGCTGTCCGCCACGTCCACCCCGTAGCCTTCGCTGGCAGCGCCCAGCGCCCGCACTTCCGCAGCAGCAGCATCGCATGCAGCCTGAGCCAGTGGCCGCAAACTTGGGACATTGCATGCCTCACTCTTGGGGCTGGCCCAGCCGCTGTGCGCCCGGGGGCCACCCAATTAAACACCGAAGTCGACACTTCTACGACCAAGTTCTACGCCTACGGCTCAGTGAACTGTTCAACTCAAAGCTCAACTGCCAGCCCTCCGCAACATATCCTAATTGTATCTGGCAGCTTTAAACACTCGCGCCCGTCGAATTCGCACCTAAGCTGTTAGCTCTGCTTTGATACCCCTAAGCCCCTGGGATATCAGGCCCTGCTTCGATACCCCCAACCCCCCAGCCCCAAAGCGCCGTGTCTGCAGCCTGACTTGGTCCCTGGCGACGCAAATAATCGTCTCTACTCCTCCTTTCGCGAAGGTTTTCGCTATGGCGAGGCCAATGCCTCTGCTGGCTCCGGTGATGAGGGCCACGCGCCCCTCTCCCTCCCCGCCGCCGTTGGGGCCCCCGCCATAGGTTAGGGGGTAGGCGAAGCAGCGGGTGCCCTCGCTGCGTGCTGCTGCTGAGGCCGCGTCAGCTGCTGCTGCTGCAGACGGGGTGGCGGGAGTCAGCTGCGGGGTTGTGCGTAGTGACGGCGGAAGAGTCACTTCCGGCTGAGACGAACACACGCAGGCAAAAGCACGCTAAGGTTTAAGGTTTGGGGCCTCCTGCGGGGCGAAAGGGCTCCAGGGTACAGGGGTACGGCCCACTGACCGAGCTGCTGGGCAAGGGGCGAGAAAGGAACCCCAGGGTCTGCCGGGGCAGATGCCGGGACCCCTCAGCTCTGTCTCCCGAGAAAAGGGTCAAACAAAGCCCCCCAAGAGCCAGTGACAGCATCCGCATCTTGGCGAGGGTCCAGCTATGCGATCTGGGGAAGCGAATTACAGGTTTCGGGCCTGCAAATGAGTGCCCAGCGTCGAGGACTGACTGCTCAGGGTTGATGACACCCAGGAGAGACAGGCACGGCGCCAGCCAGCCTCCACAGAAGCCTGAAAGAAGCAGTGCTTGTTATAAAGCCCTAAAACACGGCCACACCTTGGCTTTAAGGCTCAAGGGGTTAATGGTTTATTCTCACTGTCTGCAGCGGCAGACTGTCCCGGGCTGCTATGTCGCATGTCGGCGTCAAGGAGAGGGGGGCGTAGCGCGTAGGCACAGAAGTTGTTCGCTGATGCTTGCTCTTGTCTTTTTGTTTTTTCTAGTAAATACAGCTCAAATTAATAGAATTATTTAACAGGTGCATTGAAGAGTGCCAATTAGCAGAAGGTTGATCAATACAGATGCCATAGCAACAGCTACTGCAGACCAGCTGTCTTGCATCCAGTGATGCGCTCCTTGGAATTACTGCTAAGATTTGCTACCTTTTCACCAATGAACTACTCAAAATTCCTATTGAATAAATTCATTATGACGCACGCAAACACAGAAAGTTTCATTTCGGGCTCATTTCACCGGCACTCGACCCCACCACGAGCCGCCAATCCCGGAAGACAAAGTCTGCACAAAACTATGTATATTGAAACTGGCTATCCACAGGAATGCAAATCTGGCTACTTGCCTCTGAATGCAGCTGCCTGAGGTTACTTGCACCTTTTTGTAGCCACCAACAGCATCTAGGGCCTCAGATGCGGCCTCAACACCGTTGCCTACTCCTACTTTTGGGGACGCAGCAAACGCTCTTTCTTGCTAATCACTTCCAACTACAGGATTCATGCGCTGCAGCGCCGTCCTCCACGCCTGCACAACTTGTTCCAAACTACAAACGGCAACGTCACCTTACTCAGATATAATGTCCCCTCCTCACAAGGCCTAGTGACTCCAGCAAGCGGAAAGCCGCTTAAGGGGCCTCCGAGGGCACTTCTGTCCCCTATTATCTAGCCTATCACCTCAACTAGCGTGTTAGGCACTGCATCTTGTTCGCACTTTTCATCTGTTCACTTCCACCTATTTATTCATGGCTGTGATCTTGCACTCCATATACACTTCAGTGAGAGTCTCAACCCCCAGTTCCGCACAGTAGCGAGACCACAACAGGCCTGGGGGCCCACAGATCCATACTCTGTACCTTAGCAACCCTAAATTGTTTCAGCTCTCAAAGACAGCTACAATTGTGAGAAGTGCCCCAGCGGTGGCTTGAACACCGCCAAGGCCGCGCATGCGCTGGAGTCAACAGCAGCATCGAGGTCAAGACAGGAATGCGGCAGCTTGAAACGCAAATAGATGTAACAAGCCCTAGATCTGAGCTCTGCCTAAGGTGAGAAAAATGGTTCTTCAGGCCGCAGTGCAGATCCTCACCGCTTCCTCTGCTGCTGCCTCCGAAGACACTTCATCTTCTGCCCCTCTATGATTTGGGGGCCCCACAACGACGACCAGATCTCCCTGCCCCTTTATAAATCCTTCTGCCCTGGCTCCTCTCTTAGCAGCATCCACCCAACCCTCGTCCATGTCCCCGTCTGACTGCCGTAGCCCCTCTTTGACTTTAGAAATCTCTTCTGGACCCTGTGGGCGAGGCCCCAAGAAGATAGGATGGACTCCCCAGTAGAGCTGAAGCCTCCTGGCTGCCTTTAGGTCTTCCGTAGCCGCCACAATAGGAGCCTTTGGCCTCAAGGAGGAGAGATACGGCGCCCCTCGACTGTCTTTGGTGTTGAGCAAAATAGCCTTTGCAGCAGACACACGCGCCATCATCTCTGCGCCCACAGCGAGGGCCTCAGTGGTCACTTCGGGCTCAGGCCCCCCTTCGCCTCCTTCAGATGATGCCTCCAGGGGCCCAGCGGGGCCCTCTTGCCTCCCCTCCTCCTGTTTCGAAGGAGTCCCCCATGAGTGGGTGCCTGCTTCTGCTGCTGCAGCGGCAAACACCGTTGCTGCCTGTGGGGACTTGAGAGTGTTGAGGGCCCAGTAGTTCGCGTCTGCCTCAGTCTGCTGGATGATGCTGTGCTGCATGCGAGCTATATGGGGTCCCCTGCTGCTGGCTGCGGTTTCGCCTGAGAGCATAACTGCAGCGGCGCCGCTCATCACAGCCGCAGCAACATCTGCTGCCTCTGCTCTTGAGGGCAGGGGATTTGTCATCATTGTCTCCAGCATCTGCGTGGCCACCACCACGGGCTTCCCCGCCTGTCTCCCCGCTGCTGTTATGTCCCTTTGAGCCTTGGGCACAAACTCAGAGTTCAGCTCCAAGCCCAAATCCCCCCGCGCCACCATCAGGCCGTCTGCTGCTGCTGCTATGGCTCCCAGCTGCTGCAGTGCCCCAGCCCTTTCGATCTTTGCCATTATCAGCGGGGGCACGCAGGGAGGCCCCACGCAGCCCACAGTACCTAGTGAGGATGGGGCAGTTGCCCTGCCGGGGGCCTCTGGAATGGGCCCTGCGAAGGCCCGCGGGATATCCGCTTCGGGGGCCCCTTGGGGGCCCCCCTCAAGGGCGTTGGCTTGCGCTGTGATCACCCTTCGGAGTTTGTGGATATCTGCTGCGGACTGCACAAAGGAAAGGGCTATCCAGTCAACGCCCCACTCCGTGACCATTGCTGCTATTTGTTCGTCTCTCTTAGTCAAAGCAGAAACAGGTACATATGTGTCCGGCAAAGAGACCCCCTTTTTGCTCGATATGGGGCCCCCTGTCTCCACCACACAGAGGACCCACGCATTGTCCTGCGAGGGACCCGAGCTGCTGTCACCAGCCCCCTCTTCCTCCTCTTCTCCCTGCTGCTGCACGTGCTGCTGCTGCTGCATGTGTTGCAGCCGCTGCTGAAGGAAAGGCGAGAGCTCAACTACCCTTAGCCGTACCTTGCCGTCGTCTATTAGTACTCTGTGTCCGACCCTAAGGGCTCCCAGTACCCACTTCTGCTGCAGTGGGCCCCTCTGGGGGCCCCCTGGCATCACACTTGCGTCTAGTATGAACTTCTGGCCCTTGACTAGCGTTACCTCATCCGGGTCAAAGACGGAGAGGCGCAGCTTGGGACCTGGAAGGTCCGCGAGGACGCCTATGGGCGTTTGGTACTTGTGCTCTATTTCCCGAATGTACTTGTACTGCTGGTACTTCTCGCTAAACAAGCCATGGGAGAAGTTCAGGCGAAATACATCCACACCAGACAAAAATAAGTCTTCTATCTGCAGGCCAATGGCAAGCACGCACCCCCAACCTAACCTGAATCGAAATCTCAAACCCCAAACCCTCAGCACGGTGTTCTGGGGCAGCTCTGCGGCCTCTGCCAGCAGCTGCACAGCGCCATGCGATGCAGCGGTAGAGGGCTCGTGGCTCAGCTTATTGGGGTCTGGGGTTTCCTCACCTGGTGCTTCTCCCATGAGGCGGGCCCTATGGTGGCTATTTGCTTAGTTCGAGTGAACACGCGGCGCAGCGGGACCTCTTTTTCTGCTGCTACTGCTGCTGCTGCTGCTGGGGCAGTGCGCACTGCAGCACCTGTGTCAGCCTGGGCTACAGCTGCAAGAGTGCCTAGCTCCCGGGACCTCAGGGAGGCTAGGATGGGGCCCCTCAAGGGGGCCCCCCGTAGGCCTCGTGAGCACCGTATCCCCCGGGCTGCAAGCAAGAGAGCTTGCGCTCCCTCTTTTGCGGCCATGTTGGCAACAAATGGATTTGCTGCTGCTGCTGCAGTCGCTGCTGCTGCTTGCAGCTCCCGCTGCTGCAGGTGGCCCGAAGGGCAGGAAGATGCCCGAAGAAATGCCGGCGAGAAGTCCTGAGGGGCCTTCGATAAGGCCAAGGACAAATTTAAAAATAAATCACAGAAAAATACAACACAAGCGAGCAACTGTAACACATAATGAGCCATCTCGCACGCATTGGGCCTCCTGCTGCTGCTGCTGCGGATGCGGCTGTCTCCGTCCCTTCGCCTTTCTTGTTCCTAAAGTGCGGCGCAAGATCAAACGAAAAACGAGAAGAAGTATACGAAATACATCTTTGAAAGCGGCGGCAGCTGCCGCTGCGGCTGCTACTTTGACTGTTGCCCTCATCGATCTGTCGATTGTGGGGGGCTTAGGCGGGTATGGGGGTGACCCTCTTTCATTTGAAACTCAAGAATAAATTTCAAGAGCAAGCTTTATTTTCAAGCTATATTGGCCCTGGAAATAGTGCAAAGGAATGAGCCTTGACCGGGGAAGCTGCTAAATGCTTGGGGCAACATTAAGCAGTGTCATGTGGGCGCTCTTGTCTTCTGACACTTATTAACATCTAGTTCAACGAACACATGATAGCGTCTTTACAATTCACTGATAGTCTACACACATGGAGTGGTTTACGAGTAACTCATTAAATATGTGAATAACACTATGTAACCGTTCCAGCGAATACAGAACTAGATCTTGGACATTTATTTAGGATCCGCGCACATGAAATTGTTCGCAACTAGCTGATTGCTCGCAACTAGCTGATTGAATGTCAAGAGGACACTTGTGCGGCTGTGTCTTCCATTTACTTGACAGATTCAATGCTGCTTCTCAGAGTGGTCCACAAGGGCGCCGTGGGTACTCTAGACCATTTTCGTCTATTCCACCGTTTATCTAGGGGAACAAATACATAGTAGACATGCATTCATCATCCCCCATTTGTTTTGGCTGGTATTTACAAAATATGTCCAAATGCCTATCCATGTATGCCTCCCCAGTCTAGTTCTGGGCCGCAAAACTATACGGAGGCATTCAAGTGCATGTAACTTCAGGACACTGCAGCTGCCGTTGGGGCCCCTCGCTGGCATGAGGCCCTGCTTGGAGCATGACTGAGGGCCTTAAAAGGGGAACAGAGAGGATCTTCGCGCAGTGGAATGCCTCAAGAGCCTCCGCCAGAAGGGTACTTTGCCAGGCGGGGCTCCTGGTAGCGTCAATAGACTTGAATGAAGGCCTCCTAGCTAGTGGAATAGGCAGGATCTCATCTATTTGCGCGTGAGGGGTCAAAGTCAGCGGCGGTGAAACCCTCTCTTCCCCAGTTTTAGGCTGGATGTGGACTTCCAGGCAAATCGCCTAAGCAAAAAAGCACACTTCGGCTGACTCTTCTGCCGCTCCTCTACTGTTGAATCCGCCAAGACTGTTGCTGTTTTTGCCTTTAAAATTGCCACTGCTGCTTCTTTTCTGCATATTCAGACGCCGGGCTCTTATGTTGCAGCATTCGTGGCTTTCGAAGCTACAGCAGAGACAGCAACAGAGCCGGCAGTGGCAGGTGCCACTGTCGAGTGTCAAGTGTCGAAGTGTTGAGAACTTACGCTGCCCTGTAGTAGGCGTCTCTGGCACTTTGTCCCGCAATGGAATCGCCAGACGTTTCCTGGGGCCCCACAGCAACAGCAGCAGTCGCACCAGATATTATTTCAGTTCTAACAGCTATGGGTATGACAGAAAGCGTCGGAAAATGCTATGAGGCAGAAGATGCAGCACTTGCAGCACTAGCTGCAGCAACAGCGAAAGAGAAGGCGACGCAGCCAGGCCAGCAGCCGTATCGCCTCGCTTCCTCACCGAATCGCCTACTGCAGCAGCGGAGGCAGAAACAAGGCTACCAGTAGCGGCTGCTGCAGCAGGAGAAGTGGCAGCGGCAACTGAGCTTCCTTTGGGCCTCGAGGTATGTGCCGTGACAACAGCCTCCGGCAGTCCAGCGTATGTTCTTTCATACCTTCACCCACACGTCAGCAGAAGACAAGAGGTCGTTATGTCATCTTTAAGAGAAATTCAAGTGGCTAGAAAACAGTAGACATGGCAGCAGGTGGCCGTGAACTGCATGTCTTTCAGAGGGCTTTATGCTCTTTTGGCTGCTTTATAGTGATTGCGTTGCGCTTCCAAGGAAGTATTGGTTTGTGATATATCTATTCGGAATTCCGGGTAAAAGTCACTTTGTGCATTCTTAATGTGCGTACTACTTTTAGAGAGACGTTCAAAAATATGCTTGTATCCATGTACATTGTGCATGTTTGTGACCCTGCCATGCTTTTCCGGTATACAACTGCGGCTGGGCAAATATGTGTGTTTATATGCTTGCATTTCAGTCTTTTATTGGGTGTGCAGACTTGACGAAAAGTGCGTGCAATCGCCAGCGCACATTCATGTGGCTACTTTCAGAGAGACTGCAGCAGAAACCTCTGTGTGCTTATAAATTATGAATGCATGTGTTTGCGTTTGTTGTGCGTGTTTTGTTGTGCATCTGCTTATGCATTTGCCTGATTGAAGCCGTACGACAAAGCAAGTTTAGGATACGCCAATGCGTGCTATTGTTTGAGTGTGTGTTCCCACGTGAGCACTCATGCACATGTGCATTTAACTGGTGTACAGCTGTTAAGAGCAAGCATATATCAATGTCAAATCTTGTACTTATCAGTAAATAATTTTTTGACTTGTTTGAGTGTATGCACAAGGGTGTCAATGCTTGCACGTGAACTTCACCAGGAGTCAAAAGCGCCCATGAGCTGAAGCCTGTGCTCGTTGAGGGTCTCTTCTCTTTCTGCTGTTTCTGCCCTCAGCGAACAGTAGACTGAATAGAGCTGGCGGGCAGCCTGAAAGACATGCGAAACAACTGGGATGGCAGCAAAATAAAGAGGCACAATGATAGCAAACACTGAAACGCAAGCAGGCGCAAACAGTCATGCGTATCTGAGCAGAATGACTCGAACGCTGATTAAAGGTCTAATAGAAAAAGGCAAACAAACATCATCTGGAGCTTCCCTAGTTTAGATATACAGGCAGGCAAAAAAAAAGTACGCGCTGGCGAACATTCAAGGACAGGAACGCAGCAGTAAAGGCAAACTGCTGCGGGCAAAGATGCCTGAGGAGAAGGGTGGGGTAAGGTGGAGTCCAGCAGCAGTTCATGCACGAACAGTTGATGCAGTAGCGTCAGCAGCAGCTCCAGCTGTTGCTAACTGACTGCTTTGAGGTCTCGTATTTGCTTGAGCATTTGAAACTCTTCAGCGTCAACCAATCGAGGACCGTCTGTCCCTTCTTGGGGCGTCTGCGAGGCAAATAACTTGCCATGTGTCTTCATTGCAGTGCACAGTCATTCTGTGTGTTTGGTGCGCAAGCTTGAATTCATAACCGCCTGTTCCTATCTAGACATGCCTCTTCCTCCTTATTAGTCCTTTGCGAGCAACTTGTCTACACTGTTCTTTGTTTTTATGTTGTCCTGATTGCCTTTATCGTGCCGTTTGCCTTCTTTCTCAAATTCCGTTTGTTGCCTCTCTACCCAATTGTTGCTTGCACCCCTTTCTAGCAATCTTTTGTCCTTGTTTGTTCTTCTGCTTTGTTCAGTTATGCGTTTACCCTCTTTTTTTTTTCTTTTTCTCCTATGCCTAAACCTAATATCAAATCGCTTTTTCTGTCTGTCCGTTCATGTGCTGTTTTGTGTTTATTCTTATGTGTCGTCTTTGCTTCTTCTTCATTTTATGTCTCATCGTCCATGTCTCTCCCCTCTCAGTGTTTCTCGTTGGTGCACTAGTGCCTAACTGCCTCTGCGACTGTTGTTTTCCTATCCACTTCAGCTCCAGCTTAAGGTCTAGAGTTTGTTATTTGCATTGCTTGGCATAGTTTCAAGAGTCTTCACTGTTCAAAGTTTTTGTTCTATGGCCTGAAGGGTGTACCTGTTGGCTCTCCGGTTCGTTTTGCTGCTTGAACGCGAGCTCACTCCGGATTTTCCTAATGGCTTCCCTCATCTGCAAAATATCCTGAGTGGAGACAAACACGAATACTGATGAAAATGATGAAAAAGACAGAGGTCAAACAACCCTCGATGCTTTGCGTTTCGTGCTGTCCCCTATTGCGTCGCTCATCGTCTAACTCTCCCCAATGTTCTTCATCTCTATTATTCGTAGCCTGTATTAAATTGCTCTGTGGCGTCCTGCCAATCAAATGATTTGTCAGGATTTCCCTGTGAAACTGCATTTGTTCATGAACGGCTTTGAGGCTGGATATGTTTGTTATTTTGTCTTTTTCCTTCCATGCTTGTAAGGCTACATTGTATGCACTTTTGCTTTTCTCTCTCTGTGTCTCTGCCATTGCGTCTTCCTTGCTACGCTGTCCTGGCTTATTGCTTCTCTTCCTGTATTTCTTTTTGTGTCCATCCCTTTTTTTTGTACTTCCCAGTCAGCTATTTTGCCTCCCCTTCCTCCCATTTGCGTGTTTCTTCATTTCTGCCTGCTGTGTATTTTGTTCTATTTTGCATTCATAGTTTATTTTGTTCGTTTCCATCTCAGACCTTGCTAATAGCTTTAAGTTGTTGCTTTTGTTGGGCTTGTTGCTGTGAAAGGTTCCTTATGATTTTGCTTAGTTCTTTGCCTTCTGTTTCTCTAAATTGGCTGTAGGCCTCTCGTCTGTCCCAGCAACGAGTGGAGCCCGGCACTGCAGTGCCAGACCCACGCACACTCTCGCCGTTGGACCTGAAATCAAAGAACACTCTAGGGGCTACTATTGGGCCTTAATCAGCCAAAGATATATGTTTTCCAAGCTCAGAATTATGCTCCTTGAAGCACTGAATCACTTCAAGACACACGCCACCACAGCGAGCCAGTCTAGCCCCAATCTTATAGTCTATGACTGTAAACAGTGAACCCAATGCCCTCACTGAGGCGAAGCTGCTCGCCGGGAGCCGTTTTGCCGGTCGGCCACAGCAATTTCGGACTGGTCCGGGTCAGTTCCTAAAGAAATACCACCTACTGAGGGGTCTTCATACCCAACCTCTGTAGGCACATTGTAAGTATCAGCCGCTGCCGTTGGTCTTAGTGCTGCCACAGCTCCTGCATGTACTAGCGAGGTTGCTGGCTGATTCTAATGCTGCAATGTTTAGTACTGCGGCTGTTAGTGTTGGGGCTGCTAGTGCTGCGTCCCTATCCCTTGAATCAGTTGAGTGAAACGAGCCAATATACAGCAATGCAGTGCCCCTAAACTTACTTTGCACCGGTTTAGGCCCTTGCTGTGGTGAGCCTTGGGAGCTCCCTTGCTGATTGGCCTTGTTTTGGTCTTTCCCCGCTTTTGGAGTTGCCGGTGTACCCTTAGCTTTGGAGGCTCCCGCAGGCTCATTGGCCCCCTGAGCCCCCGTAACATCACTGTCTGGGGACGAAACAGCAGCAGATACTGCTTCTGCTGCCTCCCGCCGAATTGTTGCCGCCATTTCTTGGAAGACAGACCTCATCATTTGCAGAAGCTCTTCAACTTGCCTGCAGCAGGAGCGACAGCAGCAGCACCAGCGGCAACTACCTGGGGAAAAGGACGGCACTGGTGTGTCGAAAGAGTGGCATGCACCCCTGGTTGCTCCTGATGTTGTGTCTTTCATGCCTTTCGCATTCCTGTACCTTCGCTGCTGCCGATGCAGCTGTTTCCACTACCACTCTCATGATTTTCTGTGCTGCTATACCTGACAGAGGTAAATTGGATCGCCTCTTGTTCACCGTTGAGAAACTGAGTTGCCATCTTGCGCATTTTTTCCAGCTCCTCAGGAGACGATGCGTCGTAGGACTACACCAAAAATGCCAAACCCAACGAAGCAGCGCAAAAGTAAGCCCTAGGTTCTACAAGGAAGACAGGAGACCTAATAGAGCTGAGAAGGTCTCAGACATCGTATCCTGTCACTAGATCTCACAACGTAGTGTTGAAGCTCCTAGCGCCGAAGGTTAGGCTCTGACCATCTGTATAATTTGTAGCTTCAGCGTTGAACTCTTAGCACTGCGTTTAATGGTCCCTCAAACTAAAGCAGTAAGTGTCTGTATTGTTTAACGCACCAAGGTGTGCCTGCCCATGAGCGAATTGGTGATTTGGAGTTCTTGGCGAAGACGTGCCACATCTTTCTCCAGTCTTTTGGAAAGTGCAAGAGGATCAATCGTCAGATTTACCACCGCCTTGTTCGCCACCTGGAATATGCAACAAAGAAGCCACCGGCCAAAGGCTCGAATGGAAAATCAGCCAACTCGCGGGGTCTCTAGTTGCGTGGCTTGGCAGAAGCCGTGGTGGCAGGCAAGTTAGGCAGAGTAAAAGCCAGATTCCCAGCTGAAAAGCATCCTGGAGATGTTCCTAATGTCCGTCAGGCAAAGCTTAAATGGAGGAAGGACAGTGGGAAGGATATGCAGGCAAATGGAGAACAAAGACTGCGATGAACAGGGCATGAAGTGAGAAAGAAGAAGCAGCTGATCAGACGCATGAATATACCCTCATCATTCGCTGAGAGAAACGCAATGTTGACACTGTTTCCTCCAAGTGCTCCTTTTCCGGCCAGATGTTTGCTATCAGGCATGTGTTGCTGTTACCTGCAGCAGCAGCAACAGAAACTCCAGCAAAATGAGCGGGAAAGGCAACGATAGCTGCAGCTGCAGCAAACGAAAAAGACAACCGCCTTGACTGTGAACCTCAAGTTCCAAGCCTGAAGTTCGTACCGCCAAGAGTATCCTTCAGCAAGTGCGTTAGACGACTGGAGCGATAAGGTATATGGTCCCTGCCTTTCTCACCCAAAGCCACGACCACCTAAACAGGAACCTAACACGTGATTGCAAGGCTGTCGGCCTTCAACTTTATTTGGCAAGCGCCCGGCTGCGAGCTCTCATGCCAGGGCACGAAGTGATTTACTTTGTCAGTACCTGCCTGCCATTGTCCTCACCATTTCCAGAAAAGACAGGCTTTTGTTGATGAATGCTGTCCCTTTAAGCAGGGGCCCATCACCTTGTGTCTTTTTGGGTCGCTCACAGCCGGCAAGATCTACAAAATGAATTTTGCTGCTTTTCACTCCCTCTCCTCCGCCATCGTTGTTCTTGCAATGCACGTACACGGTGAAGATGCAGTGGCTTCTGCTGCTGCAAGGGTTTATGCCATGGGACGAAACTGACCTCAAATTCGCACCCCAGAAATAGCTGTTCAGTGCATCCTCCAAGTTGCTGCATTGACGCACAGTCAAGCCCCGCACAGTCAGACCCCCCTTCGCGTCCTCTTGAATCTGAGCAGACAAATCACGAATGCCAGACTCTTGCCCCTAGCCCATCTGATAGCAGGTTCCGGACAAATATGCCCGACCTTAGAACATCAAACGCACTTTACAGCGGCTTCGAATACTTGTGTCGTCGACTCAGAAATTATTGTGACTGTCTGACCTGCAGCTCCGTGCCTGTCTGCCCCTCGAGTCCGCTGTCGGCCAGCAGATCGAAGAGGAGCTCGGAGTCGATCTCGCAGAAGGATACAAAAACGGAAGCCTCTAACTCTGTCTGTTTTTCAAGGAGTGCAAATAAGTCAGAGATGAAGCGTGGAATGATGCCGCGAGACGCGTAACTGTGGCTGCTGCCAAACATGGTGTATGTCTTTCCAGCGCCTGTCTGACAGCCACAAATTACACACCCTCACACGCGATTGCGAAATGCTAGTCGCTCAGTCGTAGGCTCTGAGACGCGGTATTTCTTATGGATACTAGAGACCAACCTGCCCATAGGCCATAACACTTCCGTTGAGTCCGTCCACAGCCCCTTGTAATATTGAGGGCACGCATTCTTTGTAGACGGTTTCCTGAGTTACATCGTGGAGCACTTTATCGAACCGAAAGGAAAGCGCCTCTTCTCGAGAAGGGGACCGGACCTCTATTGTGTCCTTCTCATCGTCCACGCAGAACAAGTCCACTGGCAAAAATGTTACTGGTCGAGTTCGAATTACAGTACGCACGTGCGGGCTGGCACACATTGTAGATCAGAAAGTAGAAAGAGGGAGAACTGATCGCTACGGCCTGTGTTTTCGTTTCTTTTTATCTCCACTCCTCTTCCTGGTTCGAATTCTGACTCAAATTCAGTATCTGTTGCAGTGGACTCTTTCCTTTGTTTTCAACTCCCCGTTTTAACCTTTTCCAAGCGTTTTATTTTTCTTTCTTCGGTGTCGCTTTGGTTCACAATCAGTGGGGCTTCTACCTAGAGCACTATAACTCAACTGTGCTGGTGTGTTGACTTTTCCTTTCTGGACTTTTGTAGGGTCTTGAGAGCAAGAAGAAAAAAGTAAGGGATGAAAATTGTCCTTGCATTTGTCTGTGCCTGTCCACTGCACTTCCTCCTTTTTGTCATCCTCTGGCAATTTGCTGCTATTGCCTCTGTGTTCTTCCCTCAGCCATTTACAGGTAAACTTGTACGCGCACTGCACTCTCTGCTTAGCAGCCCTTCTGTTTTTGCATTTATTCATGTAGAGTTGTATTCTAAGCATTCCATTTTATGCGTGTTTATCCTTGCACAAATTCGTATGTTTGGTTTTCTCCCGATGTATCCTGTCCCCCGGCCGTTGTCCACGGCAGTATTCTAGGCTGTTTCCTCCTGTCTTGTCTTTCCGTTGCAAATAAATGGTGCTCTGTGACAATTTTCCATGTCCCTCTCTCCTCGTGGAAGTTAGGTACACGCCGGTGCTGCCCGCTCAGACTCGCCTATGGCTCGCCCGCGCTGCCTTTCGTTCTCCCCGCTAACTCCCTTTACCTCTTCATTTCCTGCACATTATCTATGTTTTTTACAGCTGTATGACTCTTAGCTTTAAGCATTGAGCCTTACACCCTCCTTCGCGGCAACTGTGTAGGTGACCTCATGAGCCTCATACATTCCCCGTGTTTTGTCTAAAGCAGAGATGCAGCAGTGACTGTGAAGGAAATGGGAGCGGAGTTTTTCTTTTTTTTGTCTCAAAGTATGTCGACGTCCACTGTATGCATTGCAACCTGCATGAGAAGGAAACGAGCAAGGGGGGATCCGGGGCCCCTGGGGCCTCCGGGGCCCCGGTGGTGGCCAGGTGATCGGAACCCTAAGGGAGGCCCTGATAATGTATTACGACTCTTCTTTATTTGTATAAAAGAGTGAAAAAATTAAACTAGGTTCTTTTCCATACTTCAAGCTACAATTTAGCCCTAAGCGCTGGCGGCATTGGTCAAGTGGACCACCGCATCTTGAGGTCACCTACAATCTAGAGGCAAGAACAGCACCACGGAAGGAAGCATACAATGGATACTCAGCAGACTCTGGGACCGCGTAATCGCATTTCTTTCTCAGGGGTTTCTGAGTCCCAAAAAGCCCCTGTGTCCTCAAGTTTGCCTGGTACGCCAGGGCACTTCTCATCAGGTCATTGCATTTCTTAAGGGTTATCCCGTCCGTAAAGCCCCTAAAAACACCTTCTGTTCCCCACTCATATTCTCTTTCTGGCACTATTAGCTGGCACTTGGGCTATTATTAGTTGCTGTTGACTGCTTAAGCAGTTCTTGTCGCGGTGCCCTTCTTATAGCGGAACTCATCACTAAGCAACTATGTATCCCCTGGTTGAGTTAGGCGGCGCGTCCCAAAGTGTCCAATATGGGCCTCTAACCTCCTTTCGCTCGCAGAAAGAATGCTTGGTGAGGGCCATCTACGACCTTGACCGTTCTAGTTTCCCTTAACGCCCTTGAAGAGCCACCAACAACCTGAAGGCTTCCTTTGGTGCTGCACGTTTGCAATGGCCCTGTGTGCTTAAGTATTTTTGCTCGCTTGCACACTAACCGAACCTGCGTAAGATTACGGTTCAAGGCTTATAATTAGTTTTGGCTTCTGCAGTTGCACACCCGTCAGTCGGCCTCCCCACGTCAAGTGGAATACACTTGTGAAGGTGCATGCTAAGACGCACCTTTAAGCATTTACGATCTAGTGCGCCGTTTTTGATAAACTCGGATCAATATGCTTTCACAAGCGGGCATTTGGATTGCAACTATTTCTCTGCTGCAGCAGTGGGCTACAAAAAACAACAGTTACTGCCAGAAAGCCCTGACTCCAAACGTCTCTGAGCTAGAAGAGTCGCACCAAAAGGGTCTTCTTCGGATGATTGCAGCCAAACATAAAGGTTGAGAATACAGTGCAAATTTCGGGCATTGGGGGCTTGTGCTTGTAAAATGGAGTGTTCTGGAGGCGTGCTATTTTGTATTAACAACCTACGAGATAGGGGGGGCAGTTTTGGGCATTCGGACACAAAGTTCAGTGGCGACTTTTTCCCTATGCTAAGCCTCCTATTTAGCGTAGAGAAATGTAAATAGGACGATAATACAAGACTGAAAGGAGTAAAGCACGAAAAAACTCGCGTAGATACAGGCAAAATGATGCAGACACCAAGAGGAAAGCAGACTGGCAGAGACACAGGCAAAGCGATAAAAAAATCACAACTGCGGACAAAGACAGAAATAAGCACGACGGCAGGAAGGAAAGGCAGACAGGATCAGACACAGCCAAGTATAGAAGCAGGAAACAGAAATAAGAAGAGATAGAAACAGCATATGGCGAACGAAGGTAAAGATAAATAGTTGCAGTGAAAGAGAGCAACACGGACAGACGAAGGCACAATTGCAAGCAACGACAGGCAGGCGCAGTCCAAGCTACCTGTTTGCCAGAGTACCTGTCTCTAATAGTTTTTCTCCACCTCTATCCACCACATTTAGCTCCCTTTCGTGCTCACGCCCATCTTCTGGCGCCGCTTCATGCTTCCAAATTTGTTTGTGTATAAACCCATTCTCTTCGTGCGCCTTACCCCTTCCTTAGCGTTGTCCCAATTTATATCCTTGGTTGCAGGGCTGTCCCTAAGGCCTTTAATGCTTCCTTATCGAAATTTGCTACCTCTCTTTGCTGCTTGACGGTTCTGACTTCATTTTGCCGTTCTTTTGCTTCTCTTTAACAGCTTGTGTCACCCTGTTTCCGCTACCTCCTTGATTTTGCCTTGGATTCTTTTGTCTGTCTTCCATTCGTAGCGTCGGTGTATATGTTCACTCGCCTGTTTTCCTTCCTTGCGTCTTTCTCAACCCTACTATAACAGACAAGGGGCCCTTTGACCCTATAAGGGGTACCCGCCGCCTAAGCCAGAGGCCCCTGAAAGAAGCCCCTCCTGAAGACGCTGTGGGAGCCCCCCGAATCGTTGCGTATTGCGTGCGGCCAGATCTATCAACCCCAAGTTAGATGCACATACTGTTCCCTGCAAGTGCTTCTAAAGGGTCTTCATGCTCCTATCGCCATTAGTGGTGCTGCTAGGGCACCTATATTTGCTGCTGCACGGACGATGATGTTACTGCACTGTGCCACCACCGTTGAACTCTCCTCAAGTTGCTACTCTTGCTGTTTTCCTCTTATTGCTAATATTCCCGGTTCCTCCTGTTGTTTCTAGTGCTGCTGCTGCTGCACTTTTCCATGCTGCGCTGAGGTGCATGTTAACTCCGCAGGGGAACACTACAACCCTGGGTTCTCGCGGAACATTTTTGGCGGCTTCTTTACGGCCTAAAATATAAACTTGGAAGTACAAATAAGACTGGGGGACCCCCAAGCCTGGAGAGTCTATGTCCCTTATAGCCACACGGCACTATCTACTGTGTGTCCCCTGGGGACGGCTTTTGCGGTGCGGGACACCCTTCTGAATGGGCTGTTAAAGGAACCCCAAATGGATCGCTTGAATCAGTAGGGCCTCCCGGACTTGCGGGAAACCCTTCGGACTGCTGGCGCAGAAAACGCGCCTGCTGGGCCCTGCAAAGCAGCAAGAGACGAAGCCGAGACGCAAACACGGAAAACTTGAAAAAGTGGGAACACAGACTGTTCAAAGAACATACGAAGAAAACGACGAACAGTGATACTGAATAAGAAATCGTAAATAAGGAATAGATGTTAACATTCACCTACAGAAAAACACACAAGTTCGCAGAGAGCCATGCGAAAAACGATCGAAGAGGCAGGCAAAGTGAAAAGCAGATACACGAAAGGGGTCAACGCGCAAATAAATTATATAGGAGTAGAGAATACAGCGGGATAGTGCAGAAAAAGCGAACAGCTAGACGCATATAAGAAAACGAGGACAGAAAAATTAGTGCACGCATGAGCAACATGCTGCGTAGGAGTAGGGGCCGTGCAGCACGAACAAAACGATGCGGAAGAACCAACAACAAACAAGCAGAAAGTCCAAACATTCACGTGAAGCGACAGACGCGGAGCAAAAGAGAGACGATAAACCCCCAGACTTTTCCCCGAGTTTTCTCCTGGGTTTTTTCCTCCTTACATGTCCGAGGCCTCGATGGCCAACTGTTTCCGTCTCACTTTGTCTGCTGCGTCTTCATCCCCCAAAGACAACAGCAAGCTGTCAGCCCTGAACCTGAATAGAGTCACAGCGATGGCAGGCACGCGAGCATCAAAGATTCAACAACAAAGGCAATCTGAGACGTCAACAGCGCCCGCCGATGGGAGCTTCACAGTTCCTTCTGATATGGAGAAGGCAGGAGATGGACCCCAAAAAACCTATAGAGTCCCGTCGGGCCAGTGGAATCCTATTTTCGCTAGCTAAGTGGGCAAGTGGTGAAATGGGAGAATGGCACCACGGCGTTAGGGTCTGACCTGCTGTCTATGGGAAGAGCCTCCTCGTCTGGCACTGCGAAGAGGTGAAGGGTCTGAGCGGTGTATACACTCCAAATCCTGGAGAGAAAAACAAAAGCTAAACGAAGCCGCTTCTTGAGAAACACTCTTAAGAGCCAGCAAAAAGCATGAAAAAAAGAATACGGAGCACTGAAGGCAGAAACAGCTAAACCACACATATTCGTGTCTTCGTAGCAGCGCCAGCAGCAGCACCAGCAGACTGACTCTTCATCATTCCAAAACAGCTTGTCTGTATAGGACCCAGTGACAGTTGCCAATGTATCCAGGGGACACTCGGGCCCCTTCGTGCCTTTATCG